GCCCCACCCCAGGTTTCCCTTCCCTCCCCAACCCCTGACCTCCCAGCTCCCTCTCCCCAGGCTTCCCTTCATCCTCCAACCAATGACCTCCCCCCCCCCTTCACATGCCCCTTTTCCTCCTCCATCCCAAGCCCAAATTAACCACAACCCCAGACCCCCCCCTTCTGCAACACCACCCCAGACTCTCCTACATTCCCCATACAGGATCCTCCCAGCCCCCTCTCACCCCAGGTCCCCCAGGTTCACCTTCCTAGCCCCTCCCACCCCAGATACCTCTTTCTCCCCCCCTTCTCTAGTGGAACGAACAGAAACTGAGGATGGAAGGAAAAGAGTTTTAAGGTAATGTACTCGAACATTGATGGGATTACAAGCAAGACAAGTGAACTTAGGGAAAGAGCACAAGAAGGGAACCCAGATGTAATTGGACTCACATAAACAAAATTCTCAGGAATTATAACGGATGTGGTGTTTCCCCAGGAATACACTGTAATAAGGAGAGAGAGGGAAGGAACGGGAGGAGGCAGAGTGGCCCTACTGATAAGAAAGGAGTGGAGTTTCAAGATGGTTATCCCAGGCTGTAAGGGTTCAGAGACTACATAGCAGGTACCTTGACGATGGGAGGACCAAGAGTAGTAGTAGAAGTGATATATAACCCACCACCAAACAACAGAAGACCCAGGCAAGAGTATGACAGAAACGACATGGCAGTCAACATTATAATTGAGAGAGTGGCCACTGCTGCCTGTAGAACTAGATCCCATCTGCTCATCATGGAGGACTTCAATCATGGAAGGATAGACTGGGAAATCAAGGAACCACATGGAGGCGAGGAAACATGGAGAACTAAATTGCTGCAAGTGGCGACAAGAAACTTTTTGTGTCAGCATGTCAGAGGATCCACAAGAATGAAAGGCAATGATGAACCAGCGAGACTCGACCTAGTCTTCATTCTAAATGACTCTGACATAAGGGAATTGGGTTTTGAAACCTCTATGGGAATGAGTGATCACACTGTACCTCATATGTTTGAGTATTTGGTAGAAGAAGGGATAATGTACTTAAGGAAGGGCCCAGAAAACAAAAAAGGCTGGCATTCCAAAAGGGAAACTATGATGAGATAAGAAAATTCCTAACAGATATAACTTGGGAAACAAAACTCGGAGGAAAGACGGCCCAAGGCATGATGGACTTCATCACACAGAAGTATAAGGAAGCAACAGACAAGTTCCTGCCAGTCCAAAAGGAAAAAAATTAAATGCAGATGAGAAACCCATGGTTATATTAGAGATGTAAGCTAGCAAAACAACTAAGTGCGAGGGCATGGAAAAACTATAGAAATAATAGGACACTAGAGACCAGAGAAACGTACCAGAGTGTCAGGAATGAATACGTCAAGGTGAGAAGAGAAGCAGAAAGGCAATATGAAAATGACATAGCAAGCAAAGCAAACAGGCAACCTAAATTACTGCAGTCACATCAAGAGAAAAACAACAGTGAAGGAACAGGTAATGAAACTGAGGTTGGGGGCAGACATATTCACTACAAACGACAAGGAAGTGTGTGAGGAACTCAATAAAAAATTCCAGGAGATCTTCACGTTAGAGCAAGGAGACGTTCCAGACATAAGAGAGGGAATAGATAACAAGGCACCGCTAGAGGACTTTGGGATTATCAGTGGGGAGGTGAGGAAGCTTTTGCTAGAGTTGGATGTGACAAAGACTATAGGCCTAGATGGAATCTCACTTTGGATACTAAAGGAAGGAGTAGAAGCACTGTGCCTGCCACTCTCCATAGTGTATAACAAATCACTAGTAACAGGGGAGCTGCCAGAAATTTGGAAGACTGCTAATGTAGTCCCGATATACAAAAAGGGGGGCAATCCAATAGATAGATTGGGATAGAGGGGATAGAGGAGGCACTACACTACAGGCCAGTGCCCCTAACTTGCATACCATGCAAGTTGATGGAAAAGATTGTGCAAAAAAAGCCAGTGGAACATCTGGAGCGAAAGAACTTTGTAACACAACATCAGCATGGGTTCGGGGATGGCAAATAATGCATCACAGGATTAATTGAATTCTACGACATGGCAACAAAAATCAGCCAAGAAAGAGAGGGGTGGGCAAACTGCGTATTTTTGGATTGCAAGAAAGCCTTTGACACAGTCAGAATAGAAAAAGAAATAGAGACAAATTCGGGCACGATTGGTCAGGTGTTAGTACACAACATTAGTTCAACTGGTGCTAGAAGTTACACCAATCCTAATCCTCCCCTTAAAAATTAAAAAAAAAATGTACAAACGGTTTCCCGTAACTTATCTGCTGATGTAGACCTGACCAAATGTAAACTGTGTCAACAAAATTATTCCCACACCCTCCGTCACTATGTGATGGAGTGCGAAAAGATACGTGAATTTAGAGACAATTCTATAACCAATGTTCCAGCGATGTGTAAATATTTCATTCAAAATGATCTGCTACCAGAAATTTTAGCCAAATATCTTCAGTTTGCTAACTGTAGGTAGTAACTAAGTGATTGTAACCTATCCACCGCTGCCCACTGGATGGAGGGCGGTGTGCAGGACAAACATATAAATTTTGACACTAGCTCTCCACATATGTCAGTTGCTTAATTTAGAACCTGTACTTGAGGTCGATCTCGAACCCATTGTTGATGTGATGACTTATATTGAATTTTGTAACTAGCTCATCAAGATTGTAACTTGCTTAGCTAAATGAATTGTGGGGTTCAGTCCCTGAGCCCATTATGTGCCTCTGTAACCCTTTCCACTACCGCCCACAAGATGGGTATGGGGTGCATAATAAATGAACTAAACTAACTAACACAGTACCACACAAGAGACTAGTGCACAAGCTGGAGTGAAAGGGAAGGTACTCCATTGGATAAAGGAGTATCTAAGCAACAGAAGACAGCGAGTCACTGTGAGGGGTGAGGTCTCAGATTGGCGAAGTATCACCAGTGGAGTCCCACAGGGTTCAGTCCTTGGTCCTATACTGTTTCTGATATATGTGAATGATCTCCCAGAAGGAATAGACTCGTTCCTCTCAATGTTTGCTAATGATGCAAAAATTATGAGGAGGATTAAGTCAGAGGAAGATAATATGATGCTACAAGATGATCGAGACAAATTGAATGAATGGTCCAACAAATGGCTACTACAGTTCAACCCAAGCAAATGTAAGGTAATAAAACTAGGGGGCGGAAACAGGAGGCCAGAAACAAGATACTGAATGGGAGATGAAGTCCTCCATGCATGAAACGGATATGGAGAAAGATCTAGGAGTTGATATCACACCAAATCTGTCTCCTGAAGCCCACATGAAAAGAATAACATCGGTGGCGTATACGAGGTTGGCTAACATCTGAACTGCATTCAAGAACCTGTGTAAGGAATCATTTAGAGACCTGTATACCTCATATGTAAGACCAATCCTGGAGTATGCGGCCCCAGCATGGAACCCGTACCTCGTCAAGCACAGGACTAAGCTGGAAAAAGCTTAAAGGTATGCCACTAGGCTAGTCCCAGAACTAAGAGGCATGAGTTACGAGGAAAGGCTGCTTTAAATGAACCTAACGTCGCTGGAAGATAGGAGACCTCGGGAAGATATGATCACTACCAACAAAATTCTAAGAGGAATTGACAAGGTAGATAAAGATAATTTTTTTAACACGATGGGTACTCGAGCAAGGGAACAAAGGTGAAAACTGAGTACCCAAATGAGCCACAGGGACGTTAGAAGGAACTTTTCCAGTGTCAGAGTAGTTAACAGATGAAATGCATTAGGCAGTGATGTGGTGGAGGCTGACTCCATACACAGTTTCAAATGTAGATATGATAGAGCCCAGTAGGCTCAAGAACCTGTACATCAGTTGATTGACAGTTGAGAGGCGGGACCAAAGAGCCAGAGCTCAACCCCCGCAAGCACAACTAGGTGAGTACATCCAGGGAAGCAGGTCGTAGCAGCTGTCTAACTCGCAGGTACCTATTTACTGCTAAATGAACAGATGCATCAGGGTGAAAGAAACTGCCCATTTGTTTCCGCCTCCGCCGGGGATCGAACTTGGACCCTTAGGACTACGAATCCAGAGCGCTGTCCATTCAGCCGTCAGGCCCCCTTCCACCACTGGTGGCATCACACTGGGGGTGTTGCACGCCATCTGGGGAGGGAATCATCAGGGTAAAGCGCAAAGTCATTGAACCTATACAGCACTTGGAAGGGATCAGGAGAATGATTTGGGATGGGACGGAGGGGGAGGGGGGAAAGGAATGGTGCCCAATTAATTGGACAGTCGGGAATTGAATGCCGACCTGCATAAAACGAGACCGATCATCCAATAAAATCAGCAGACTTCTAGATGTTATTACTGCTCGGCTTAGACTCGGTTACAAGTATCTCTGGGAATTCTCATTATCAGCTGATGTAGACCTGACCAAATGTAAACTGTGTCAATAAAATTATTCGAACACCCTCCGTCACTATGTGATGGAGTGCGAAAAGATACGTGAATTCAGAGACAATTCTATAACCAATGTTCCAGCGATGTGTAAATATTTCATTCAAAATGATCTGCTACCAGAAATTTTAGCCAAATATCCCCAGTTTGCTAACTGTAGGTAGTAACTAAGTGATTGTAACCTATCCACCGCTGCCCACTGGATGGAGGGCGGTGTGCAGGACAAACATATCAATTGTGACACTAGCTCTCCACATATGTCAGTTGCTTAATTTAGAACCTGTACTTGAGGTCGATCTCGAACCCATTGTTGATGTGATGACTTATATTAAAGTTTGTAACTAGCTCATGAAGATTGTAACTTGCTTAGCTAAATGAATTGTGGGGTTCAGTCCCTGAGCCCATTATGTGCCTCTGTAACCCTTTCCACTACCGCCCACAAGATGGGTATGGGGTGCATAATAAATGAACTAAACTTAAAAAAAACGCTCTACCGTCCAGTGCAAGTGGTTGGGCGTGCCAGTGCCCGTGCCAGCTGGGTGCCGGCGAGGGTGGCGCCATCTGGGGATCACAGGTGGCACCTCCAGCAGTGATCACCGTGAGAGTGGTGGTGGTGGTGGTGGTGGTCAAGACTGGGACTCTTAACCATCAACATGCAGTTCAGGTGACCACTTCTGCCTCTTAACCTCTCTTATATGCACTCTTAACTGTCATGACACTGATCGTCTCCTTCTTGTATGTTAAAGTAATGTGACTAACAATTTAAGGTACCGGTGTTTGTTTACATTATGTTCCTTCGCCACCGGTCAATTTTTACCCGAAGTTACCTGAGGGCTACTAATACTTTAGTGGCCTCGACGACGACAGGAAGCCGCTGGCTTGTCAAAGGCTTCCTTTGCCTATTTGTCCTTATGATCTTTTCCAATTGGATTTTAGCATTTATGGCTTCGGCGATTAGGCGGTTCCATGGGTTTATAACCCTGGGGGTGAAAAAGCATCTCCAGTTCTCAGTCCAACACTGTGGCTTGTTGAGCTTGAAACTTGTTCCGTGTTTGTCTTACTTTGACCTTTTGAAGAAATTGTCCGGGTCAACATCCTACAAGTTGTTCAGTATTTTAAAAGTTTCAATGAGATCCGCCCTGTCATGCCTGGCTTGTAGTGATGTTAGCCCTGTGGCCTTCAAGTGTTACTGGTACCAGAGATGACTTGGCTCTGGAATGATTTTTGTCGCCCGGTGTTGCACTTTCTCCAGAGCAGCTATGTTGTTCTGAAGGTGAGGTCTCCATGCTTGGATACAGTAATCCAAATGGGGTCACACCGGAGATTTATACAGTTGAATCACTACCTTTTTTCTTCCATAAAAGTCAAAAGCACAATTGATTATTCCAAGGGTTTGGTTAGCACTTTTGACTACTGCTCCTACCTGTTGTGCAACTTGTAAGTGAGTGGTGGATTTTGACTCCAAGGTCCTTTTCTATTTATTTTTGTGAATGAGGGTGAGCAATCAAACATAGGCGATATAAATTTTTATTAATTTAAATAAATTATTTGGAACTGCAAGTTGCATGGAAATTTCCAACTACAGTTGCTAGTAATTTGCAATTGAAGCTGCTGGAATTTATTGCAGTTTCGCAGTTGGTAATAAGTACAGTTGCTAAAATTTGCAACTGCGAGTTGCAGCGTATGGTGTGCATGTGTAGGGATACATGTTAAGGGACCTTAATACCTATACTTGTACATCTATTCTACGTAAGTAGGGGCACGTGCACCTGAACTTAGTAGTACTGTACGTAAATAAAGTATACAAGTTTAGAGAATTCATCCCAAAATTATAAGTGGTGCACTTAACAATAATAACGAAGGATGCATATGGCCTATGCACAAATAATCCTAAATAATTAACGTTACTAATTATCTGTACTTACCCACTTACATAAGTGTCTAACATTACAAGTGTAAATGAAGAGACAAGCTACATGCATACAGAAACATTGAAAGATTATGTATGATGTGTAGAAGAATTGAAATGATTTAAATAAAACTACCTGTACAAGAATCATAAAAAAATTAGGAGAGAGAAATGGAACGAAAAAACATCGGTGAAATTGAGATGGACCCAAAATATTTCTATGCAAAGTGTACAGCAAAAACTGCATGAAAGTTTAATAAACCATACATTGGGCTTCCTGGTGCAACGGAGATGAAACTTTCACTGATGATAACAGTGACAAGTGAATTAGTGTCATAGTATGACTCCTGTTTTTAGAGAACCCCTAAACATGCCATAATATGTAATAAAATAATAATTTATTGTGTCGGGGGACAGAAAACTAGTGTATTCATATACGTTTGACTTTTATCGAGGCCATCCCCCCCCCCCCTTTCACATTAGGTGAAAGGAAATGTGCCCAACCATTTCTGTCACGCTCTGGATTTGAATCTGGAATTCTCAATTGTGCATCGAGTACGAACACGACCAAACTACTGGGACACTTTTACTTGGATAATAACTATAAGAGCAGTATATGACAGTATATGGTAGACAGTATATGATTTTTTCATGAATGTGGCCCCAACCTCAACCTATATCTCGAATGCCACGCCAAGCTCTCTGGACTTTGAAGTAGCTATAGACAGCATGCCCATGCACTCTACATTAGGCCCACACTCTTGGAATTATATATTTATAAAAAAAAAATAAAAAAAAATCTCCCCAAAAACTATTACAGATATACAAAACTATTATGGTTAATTAACAAAAACTAATTTTTGTTAATAAACCATACATTTGCATCTTGCCTTGGAGAACAACTGAGTGGTGTAGCTAAAGAATTTGACTTTTTGAGTATATATGAATAGCTCCTTTCTGAGTAGAACCTTCTGATTACTCTGCTTCTCCTATTCCTTATTGGATGTTTATAAGAGGTAAAATGTGAGTTAGCTTGTCAGGATACCCTATTTACATGTAGGTGCTGCCACCTTGGGTAACGGCTGGATGGGCCAATTTATACAGTAGTTAGCGCGAATGCTGCTTGTCAGTCTCTGTGATGGAAGTACAGTACTGCTGGAAGGGCTTCAAGTTTTAAAATCGAGCATTCTAGAGGTCATTCTTGGCTGAATTTATTATTCACCACTGGCCTCCCTTTTGCACCAATATGACCTGGTAATGTTGTTTGAAGAGATCCCTTCAGTGCTGGCGTGGAATGTCAACCTGCCCTGACTGTATATGATGATGTCCAACGAACCACCAGGATCTTCCCTTAGGGAGAAAGTGTTCCTCTCGTAAACAACCTTTTCTTATAACAGTATTGTACATTCATATTCTGATTTGTATTGTTTAAATTTGTGATTTTTTTTAGGTTTTAATTTGTTTCATAAAAAATGTTACATTAAATATAAATTGTCTTGTTTGATTGCAGAAGGATGCTAGCAGTTCAGAGGCTTGTGTGTGGTCCGTATCCCGTACGTTGCTTGGCCACAGTTGCCCAAGAAGCATCGGCAAAAATAATGGAAGGGCCATTATCTGTATATAATAACTATATAGCTGAAAGTAGACTACAGTATGATGATTATCAAAAGGAAATTGTTAATGAACTTCAGCGATGTTATGAAGAGGTAGGCTATTGTAAATTCTTGAAAAATTACATTGTACAAACAATCATCTTTAAGTACTTTATAGTTAGCGCTTGCTTTTCTGGGGAAAGCTTCTTGTGGCTCTCTGAAACTATACTGTACACTAAGATAGTTCCCATCTACCAGGTTACATCAGCTGTGGAGATCATAGGCCTTTCAGGGACCAAACAGAACCTGGCCCCCTCACAGAGACACAAGGAGCGGTGACATTTTGCCACTTCACTGGGGAAAGCATCCAGAAAGATCAAGTAGCCACTGCTTATAGGTCTATCACGGAAGTCCAACGTACTCGGGCTCGGGAGCATACAACGTACTCGGGTGGGGGAGGGGGGGGGGGGTTTGTCCTCATCCATGGTGGCTATTGGGTAGGACTGGGGCATCACCTACTGTGGGTCAAGGTAGGCCTTCTTTAGAACCAGATTCTGGGTTGCTAGGATTCTGATTTTCCTAGCCAGTCCTTCTTGGTCTGGTCGGTACCGTACTCACTCTTTCCGGAAGTCATCGGTTTCTCGTGGTATGCGCCAGTTCTTTTGCAGTTCACCCCCTTCGTGATAGGGGGGATAGCTTGCCTGGTTTGCCACCTCCTGGTACCATGATTTGTGGGCTTTTCAGGTAATTTTGTGCGGCCTGCAGTGGAGTTGGTCGAAACCCCCCACTCCTTTTCCAAGGGTTTCAGTCTTTCTCTGCAGGCTTTTTATTCTCGCCTTTGTCAGGTCATCTCGAAGTAGGTGATTTCTGGCATGGTCGAAATGACTGCGTCACTTCGCTGGGTTTCCTGCCTCTCTCCAGCTCCAAAATGGGACTCTGGGCACCTCTGATTCATCCTTGATATTTCAAAGCCAAACCTATTCATCCCTTACCATATGTTCTGGCTGACCACTTTGTCCCAGGTTCACCTCTAATACAAGGTGAACTTGGGGAAATGGTTACTGAAATCTTATTTACTTATAGGCTTATTAACAATATAGTACAACATAATGTATTCTGTTATAATAAGTTTTAATTTTCATTGGCTCTGTTGAGTTTACTTTTCTATAAAATCCTATTATTAAATGAGTTACTGGTTTAATAAGTCATTACTTAAGTATAGTTACAGGATGAGAGCTGCTCTCATGGTGTCCCATCTTCCCAGTACTCTTTGTTATGTAACACTGTAAAACTACTGACGGTTTTAGCTCTACCACGTTCTTACTTAAGTTGTCCCAACCGTCTACCACTGTTTCTGTGGGAGCCTCGTCGGCTCCCTGGAGTTATCGAACTGATATGCGATATATTAGTCTGGGGGCATCAGTCAATTGGAGTTCAGCCTACCTGGGACCACGAGCCAGAACCTGGCCCCCCCCCTCAGAGAGGAAAGGGAGCAATGGCCTATGGACACCTCCCATGTGGTTGGGGGGCATTCCTTGTCTGCTACTGACCAGGGTTAGGCACCAAGAAAGGTAGGCATAACAAAAACCCCTCTTGGTAAGAAAATTGCAACTGAAGGCCCCCAACACCCAAAGAAACAAGCAAACGTCATACACTGCCACTGCGCTGCTTGTCCGGGGGGAGCCCCGGGTTGCCTTCCATAGTGCCTTTGGGAAACCACTCCCATAGGGGTTTTTGTTGCTTGGCATTTGCCCTGCCCTTGAGGCCAGCTGGGGTTTCGTGGCCTTTGTATGGCCTTGGGTAGGAAGTGGTCAGTTGCTCCTTGGGGTACAAGGTTCTGTGCTGCTCGCTTTCCTATGCAGTGGCTGTGTTCCTGTTCCTTCTGGTGGTGGTGTACTTTTGCAGGGTTTTTCTTTACTTTTTGTTTTCCTTGCCAGGAGGGGGTATGCCTTGTTTGGGTATTGGTCCACTTAAGGTTGTTGGTGGCCCTCCTCTCGGCCCTCGTGTCTGTACATGTCACAGGGTTTCAGTTTTTAGCTTGTCCCCTTTTGTTAGCTCTTGGGTTTCACCGACTTTGTAGCACCTTTGTAGAAAGAAAGTAATGACCATTTGAATAGCAAAGTTTTATGTCTTGAGGGTTTAGTGAAAGACTTGCGCAAGGATAAGAATCAATTGGAAACAAATTGCAAAGCCATGGAAGAAGAAAATAAACTCTTAAAAATAGCTTTGGAAGAAGTTAAAGTAAATTTAAACATAAATGACTACAATAGGTTAGGCAAGGAAATTCAACAGGAGAAACAGCTTTTGTCAGCACAGATGGAGGAAGTTACACAGGGAATAGAACAGTGCAAGAAAGATATGCAACTCACCTATGCACAAGTGGCCAAGGAGAAGGAAAAAATTGAAGAAGCAGTAAAGGAAGTCAAACACTGCAGCAACCAAGATAAAACAAACATTAGGCTAGAAGTGAGGAAAGAATTGGCATCTAACCCGAAGTTGGTGCAAAACACAGTTGATCGGAGTAAGTCCCTGATCATTTTTGGCTGCAAAGAAAAGGCGATAACATCTAGGTCAGAAAGAGCTGTAGAAGAAGCTAAAGTAGTAGATAAAATTGTTGGCCTCGTGGAAGGTCTTACAAACAGAGAGAATGTGTGCGACTACAGGAGAATAGGCAGGTACGTAAAAGGGAAAGATCGACCTTTGAGGATCACCCTAAACGGTGCCAAACAGATGGAAGAAGTACTAAGGAATGCTAGAAAATTGCAAAGGGATGAGGATGGGAAAGGGTGGTCATTAAGACGAGATCTTTCAAAAGAAGATAGAGAGAAGCTGAAACTGAACCTCGCCGAGGCAAAACATTTAAATGAGAGCAGGAATGAAGAAGAAATAAATTCTTTTTTTCTACAAAGTGATAGGGGTAGGCAAACCAGTAAAGTGGTACATAAAGGCAAACCAACAAAATCAATAGAGAGAGGGGGAGTGAAGAATAAGGAGAGGGGGAACAAGTTCCTGAAGATTGCATACACCAACATAGATGGAGTGAGATCGAAGATACTGGAGTTAAGTGATGTAATACAGCTGCAGACACCAGACATTGTTGCACTCACGGAGACAAAACTTGAAGATGTAATTTTAAATGAGTTTGGACCTGTAAATTTGTAGACCTCATCCTGGAAACATTCTTGTATCAACATGTTAAACAAGCTACGAGGATGAGGGAAGGGGACGTTCCCTCCATGCTAGATTTGATATTTACCAGGAAGGAGGAAGAGATATTTGACATTCAGTACCTTCCTCCCTTGGGTAAAAGTGACCATGTCTTTTTGGGAATAAAGTATGCAATGCGTTATAAGCTGGAAGAAAATAAGGAGGTTGAAGCAGTTGAAAAACCAGACTTCAGGAGAGGACATTATGGTGACCTTAGAAATTTTTTTAGTGAGTATAATTGGACAGACTTGATGCTAGGCAAGGAAGTGAATGAGATGTATGGCAAGTTTTGTGAAATATATGATAAAGGCACAAAAAAATTTATACCAAAACAGAGATGCAGAACTAGGAAACAGGATTGGTTCAATAGAAATTGCGAGAGGGCTAGAGACCGAAAGACACAAAAATGGAATCAATACAGGAAGAGGCCGAACCCCCAAACATACCAGCGATACAAAGATGCGAGAAACAACTACACGGCAGTGAGGAGAGAGGCAGAAAGAAATTTTGAAAAAGGGATTGCGGACAAATGTAAAACAGAACCAGGTCTATTCTATAAATTCATAAACAACAAATTGCAGGTAAAGGATAATATTCAGAGGTTGAAAATGGGAAATAGATTCACGGAAGATGAAAAGGAAATGTGTGAAACACTAAACGAAAAGTTCCAAAGTGTGTTTGTACAAAATGAAATCTTTAGGGAACCAGATACAATAAGAATTCCAGAGAACAACATAGAACACATAGAGGTGTCTAGAGACGAAGTGGAAAAAATGCTCAAGGAGCTCGGTAAGAACAAAGCAGCTGGCCCAGATGGCGTTTCACCATGGGTTCTGAGAGAATGTGCATCTGAGCTCAGCATTCCACTTCACCTGATCTTTCAGGCATCCCTGTGTACAGGAATCGTAGCAGACGGGTGGAAACAGGCTAACATAGTTCCAATCTACAAAAGTGGCAGCAGGGAAGACCCCCTCAATTATAGACCTGTATCATTGACAAGTGTAATAGTGAAAGTATTGGAAAAACTAATCAAAACTAAATGGGTAGAACACCTAGAGAGAAATGATATAATATCAGACAGACAGTATGGTTTTCGATCTGGAAGATCCTGTGTATCGAATTTACTCAGTTTCTATGATCGAGCCACAGAGATATTACAGGAAAGAGATGGTTGGGTTGACTGCATCTATCTGGACCTAAAAAATGCTTTCGACAGAGTTCCACATAAGAGGTTGTTCTGGAAACTGGAAAATATTGGAGGGGTGACAGGTAAGCTTCTATCATGGATGAAAAATTTTCTGACTGATAGAAAAATGAGGGCAGTAATCAGAGGCAATGTATCAGAATGGAGAAATGTCACAAGTGGAGTACCACAGGGTTCAGTTCTTGCACCAGTGATGTTTATTGTGTACATAAATGATCTACCAGTTGGTATACAGAATTATATGAACATGTTTGCTGATGATGCTAAGATAATAGGAAGGATAAGAAATTTAGATGACTGTCATGCCCTTCAGGAAGACCTGGACAAAATAAGTATATGGAGCACCACTTGGCAAATGGAATTTAATGTTAATAAATGTCATGTTATGGAATGTGGAATAGGAGAACATAGACCCCACACAACCTATATATTATGTGAGAAATCTTTAAAGAATTCTGATAAAGAAAGAGATCTAGGAGTGGTTCTAGATAGAAAACTATCACCTGAGGACCACATAAAGAATATTGTGCAAGGAGCCTATGCTATGCTTTCTAACTTCAGAATTGCATTTAAATACATGGATGGCGATATACTAAAGAAATTGTTCATGACTTTTGTTAGGCCAAAGCTAGAATATGCAGCTGTTGTGTGGTGCCCATATCTTAAGAAGCACATCAACAAACTGGAAAAGGTGCAAAGACATGCTACTAAGTGGCTCCCAGAACTGAAGGGCAAGAGCTACGAGGAGAGGTTAGAAGCATTAAATATGCCAAAACTAGAAGACAGAAGAAAAAGAGGTGATATGATCACTACATACAAAATAGTTACAGGAATTGATAAAATCGACAGGGAAGACTTCCTGAGACCTGGAATTTCAAGAACAAGAGGTCATAGATTTAAACTAGCTAAACACAGATGCCGAAGAAATATAAGAAAATTCACCTTCGCAAATAGAGTGGTAGACGGTTGGAACAAGTTAAGTGAGAAGGTGGTGGAGGCCAAGACCGTCAGTAGTTTCAAAGCGTTATATGACAAAGAGTGCTGGGAAGACGGGACACCACGAGCGTAGCTCTCATCCTGTAACTACACTTAGGTAATTACACTTAGGTAATTACACATGCACGCACGCACGCACACACACACACACACACAGTGTGTGTGTGTGTGTGTGTGTGTGTGTGTGTGTGTGTGTGTACTTGCACAATGAAATCGCGATTGTGTGATATATCTTATGAGACTATATTGAAGCTGTATGATGGGATCAAACCTTTGTACCTGAACTTATGTGTTCTCTGCTCGTGGTTTAATTTACCTTGGGCATTATGGTCCAGCTGGTAGTGGGTCACTAAAGAGTTCAGGTATTTGGGTTCGAACCCATTGTACGTGGTCAGTATTTTCTCAGAGTATAGTTGATGAGTCATAATGCTTTTCTGTGAAGAGCCCCTTCGGCTCCCCGGAGCTATACCGGGCTGATGTATATATATTAGACTGTGGCAACAGTCAATCGAAGGAATTCTAAGCCTACTGGGAACCAGAGCCAGAACCTGGCCCCCTGAAGAGAGGCACGAGGAGCAATGGCCTAAAGACACCCCCCGTGTAACACCCTTTGTGTAAGAAGCAGTCTTTGTCTGCCGTCTACCAGGTCAGGCACCCAGAAAGGTAGGAATTCCAAAAGAAACTACTGCTGGTCAAATAAATTGCAAACTGAAAGCCGAACTAGCAACAGAACTCCCAATCAAAACCAAGAAAGCAAGTATGATGTCACCAGAAATGCTGCGCATCCGTCTGCGCAACCCCCTCCCCCTCCACAGGAGGGGGGGGGGGGTCTCGGACCTCCATGCGGGCAACTCTCCTCAGTTCAAGAGGCTGTTGTGTTGGTGACAGTCAATCGCTCTCGCTCCACTCTTTGTGCAGTGCGGTGGTGTTGCTATGTTTTCATTGTGTGTGAGCCAGACGTAACACAAGAGTACTAGGGCTGCATGCACTTAGGGCCGCCTTCCCTAGGTGTCCTGTAAGTACTGCCTTTGCAGCTTCTGGGTTATCTTCTATGAGCCGTTCAGGAGCAGCTACCTCCGTGTCGTTCTGTCGCTGCTAAGTGATTGCCCGCCCTTGGGGATTCAGCTGGGTTGGTTCTTACTCCTGTTTCCCCTTGGGTTAGGAGGTAGTTTCGTCACTGGCAGCGAGGTACTGTGCAGCTGTCTGATATATGCATAACGACCGGTTCTGTACTCCTGGAGACGTTCTGCTTTTGCGGGGTTTTTCTTTTCTTTTTGTTTTGCCTGGTTGGGGTCTGCCAGGTGTGGCGGTAGGACCACAGGTAAGTTTTTGGTGGCCCTCCACTAGGTCCCTGTGCTTGCACACATCGCAGGGGTTCAGCTTTTAGATTGTTTGCTTGGTAGCTCTGGGATAACCGGTTAGCAGTACCTCGCCTGGGCTTCCCTTAGCAGTCGGCCTAGGGGCCCTGGAAAACCCCATTGGGGCTCAATGGTCCAATGTAGGAGACCTCTGAGTTCCACCTCACCTTGTGCGAGTTTGAAGGTTGCTCTGTCCCCCTGTTTTGGGGTAACATTCACCATCTGCCTCCGCCTTGCTGCTTGTTGGGGTCAGTGACACCTATGACCCGGAGTCCTGCGAGTGGGGTTCTTTGCTTGTACTCCATTCACCCAGTCCACTGAGACTTATATTTGGATGCAGGCAGTTTTAGCGTTGCATGCACGGTTTAAGTTGCAGCAACGTGCGAGGTTGGTCGCCTTTCCGGATGCCCTGCAGCTGCCCTGCTGAATTATACTGTAGTGAGACTCGGGTGGCTTTGGAGATTGCCCCTTCCGGATCAGCGGCGTAGGCATTCGAGCCTGGTCCTCCTGCCGAAGCTTTTGGGCCACTCCAGCGGGCCCCCTTTCATCCCTGCTTTTCTGGTGGACTCTGCTTTTTCTCCAAAGGCAGAGGGTTTGGAGGACGGTTCGGCCCCGGGTCTTGACGTGGAGGATTCCGGGGCTGAGGAGGAGTTGACTTGGGGGGGTCTAAACCCCACTTGTCCCTGCTTGGGTGTTTGGTACCCTCAGTGCAGGGCTTGTTGTTACAAGGGGAGGGTTTTTTCCTTTCCCCCTCCCTGTACGTTTTTGTTACAAGTTCGACTCCTCCCTGGGCTCGGGTCCGAGTTCCCTTGGGTTTTTCGGTTCCCTCCTTCTGGAGGTTTTTTGGCTTCCCACATCCTACCGAGGAAGGTGTGGGAGGCCCCTTGCGGTTTACCTCCTGCGAGACCCGGAGTACGCCTCGATAATGAAGCCTTCATTTTGAGTTTGGCTCCTCTTTTCTTTATTGGGTGCGTTACAAAGTGCCGGAGTCTTCCTGGCTGGCAGACTGCCGTTTCTTTTTTGGGGGGGCTTGGCATTCGTCCTGTCGGAATGCGCACTTGAATGGCGAAATTTGCTTACGGTCATTTAGGTTTTCTAGGGGGGGGGCGCGAGTTGGAGCACCTCAAGGTGTGCTAGTTCGCTCCCATCCTTCCTTATGATGTCGGCCAGATGCAGCTTCACGTGCAGGTTCCCTTTAAGCATCTCTGGTAGCCGAGGACTTGTGCTCCTGTGGGCACTTGGCTTCGAACTCTTTCCTGTAGAATCTCTGCCACTCTATCATAAAAAGTAAGTTGATTTGTTACATAGGATCTAACTGTTCAGAAACCATACTGTTGTTATATTATTTCTCTCCAGGTCTTCTATCCATTTGGTTTTATCTAATTTTTAGCATTTTTGCTACCATGCTTGTCAATGACATGGTCTATAATTTAGTCTTTTCTCTGCTACCAATTTTGTAGACTGGAACTATGTTCTATGGCATATTTTCATGCAAGGTACAGGTTCTTGACATTTCTACAATGTTCTTGCCTATCAATGACTACAGGAGAGTGAGATTTAGCCCTTTGTGCCCCACCTCCTAGCCATTTATGCCTGGCACTCTAATTACCTCTCTCAACGTTAAGAAAAAATATGATGAAAATATTAAAGTTGTGGATGAAATTGGCTTCTACAACTTCTTCCTTCAATGGATTCTGGTTGCCAACCACCCATACAAGGAATGAGAACTTCCTTGCATCTCTTAGGCTCAATTGCTGTCCAACTTCCACTAATATTCCCATGTCATACCTCTCATTAATTTAAAGAGGTTGCCTTTGTCCAATTTGTCTATCCCCCTCAAAATCTTGTATATACAGTAGTTATCATAGACCCTCCATTTCTTCTCTTTAAGGTTGTGAGGGAGTGTTCTCACAACCTGTCCTAATAGCCGTGGCCTTTCAATTCTGATACTAATCGAGTTGCAAACCTTTGAACTTTCTCAGCTTTCTGTTTATGCTTCACAAGGTGAGGCATAAACATAGGCAGTATGGACTTGAAAGCTTCCTTGTGTAGTTTGACATTCATATGTTTGCTTATTTTCCCTATGCTACTGATGTAATTCTGTTTAAATGGGCTTCTGATGTTAATGTTGGGATTGTCTACTCCCAGGTCTTTTTCTCTTGTTGTTTCTTGCAATTTCTTTCCCTTTATGGTGTTAAACATAAGTCTCTAATCACATTTACCCATTTTCATTGCTTTACACTTATTTGGACTGAATTCCAGCAACCATTTATCTGCCTTTACTGAAGTAATGAAGTTGATTATCTGGGGCAGTCTGATTGGAAAAGTGTGGCAGTGACTTAATGTTTTGTCAATAATCTGTTTACAGCTGAAAAGTTTGTAATTTATTAATTAATTATTTGCTTAATTAAAATAATAAATAATGAAGCTAATTTAGAAATTAACTTTTATTTCAGTTATTTGTCATTGAAGAAAATAGGCAACAATTCCATATTAGTTTATTAACTTATTGGACATTTTTCTTACAGGTAACGACATATACACCACCAACTCCACTGAATGCACTGCAGAAGTTCCTTGGATGGCAGAGAGAAGTGTCTCCTCCTAAAGGTGTATATATTTGGGGCACTGTGGGAACTGGTAAGACCAGGCTTATGGACCTCTTCTTTGAATGTGTTCCAGTCAACAAGAAAAGAAGGGTACGCATAACAATTTTTTTATTCCCACTGTTTGCTTTAGGTAGCATTTAGTATTAACAATGTTCATTTATCTGCATGTACACCAGGGCTAGATTTAGACATATTGAGACCCTAAGCTATGGGAAGCTATAGAGGCCCTATTTGGCAATTGTTAACAGAGAATAAGGCAGTGTAACAACTTAATTTGGCACGATGCAGGGGGAGGGGGCGGGGGGAAAGGATTACTTCTTTACAACTACAAAATTATTTTTAATTATTCAGTTTAAAGACATTTATTAATAGGAAAAAATACTGGAAATTTGTTTCCAGTGAGTCAAATGAGTGTACAATTCCTGTGAGTAAAATGCTCTTATTAACTTGTAAGTGCCAGATAATTAAATGGATTTTGAAAACTATAACATGGTTAACACTGATAAAGCATAAAAAATCAGTCTTCAGTATTTTCTTTCTTGCTTTTCTCAATTACCATAGGTTAAAAAAAAATTACAGTACTTCAATACAAATTTTAAGAAACCCATTGCATATGAAAAAAAATTGAGATTTTAAGAGGGCCCCTTTAGAATGTGAGGCCCTAGGCTATAGCTTGTTTAGCCTATGCTGAAATCTGACCCTGATTTTGTACACCCATCCTTACATACATTCATGTGTTTGTACAGTACTTCCTTCTAATAGTACAAGTTCCTTTCAAAGATGATGATCAATTTAATGTTGTTAAATCATCCATTAAATTAGCTAGGAAGCAGGGGTACAATGTCCTCATGGACGTCCTGCTCTTTTACAGACTGGCATGGCTTGATTGGTAAGGGTGAAGCTGCCTGGGCAGCGAGATGCTGGTGGTCAGTGTGTACAAGCCTTTAATAGAGGTTAGTGATTGTTTTCACACTCAGGAGTACCACAAGCTTCAGTACTAGCACCAGTAATGTTCAGTGTCTATATAAATGATCTACCAGGGGGGGAATACAGAGTTACATGGGCATGTTTGCTGATTATGCTAATTTATTAGGGAAAATGAAAGACTTGGATTATTCATGCCCTTCAAAATGACTTGGACATCATAATAAGTGAATGAAGCAGATAGAATTCAATATGAATAAATGCCACATTGAGAAATTGGGGAAAAAGGTAAAATGAAATCCATAAATTATGGGAAGATATATTAAATGATTTGGGAAAAGAAAGATCTAAGGGTGTTTCTGGATAGTAAACTGTCATTAGAGGGCCATGTAAAGGACACTGTGAGAGGAGTCGACTATGCTTGCAAACTTCAGAATTGCTTTTAAAGACATGGATGGAGAAATACTAAAAAATTGGTCATAACATTTATGAGACCGAATTTGGAATATGTAGAAATTGTATGGTGCCCATATCTCAAGAAGCACATCAGTAAACTGGAAAGGGTGTAAAGACATGCTACTATATGGCTTCTGGAACTAAAAAAAAACAAGAGTTATGAGAAAGAGGCTAGAGATATTAAATATGCCAAAGTTAGAAGATAGAAGGAAGAAAGAGACAATATAATTATTATATACAAAACAATATCGGGAATCGGCAAAATGGACAAAGAAGTTCTTAAACCTGCAGCTGCATTAACTAGAAGCTGTATATTCAAGCTAAGGAAAGGAAGGTGCTGGAAAAACTTAAACAAAACTAAGTTGTAGAAGGTTGGAACAAGTTAAGAAGGAAGGCAGTGGATGCCAAAACCATCAGTACAGTAGTTTCAAAGCTGCACATGACAAAGACTATTAGGAAGATGGGGGCCACCATGAGTGTAGCTCTCATCTTGTAGCTACACTTAGGTAATTACAGATATTAAAGGGGCTAAAGGAACCTAAATGAATGAATATGCCATGATTGTCATAGATACTGTATGCTTATGGCTAATAGACCTAGAGGTATTTTGAGATACTAGACAAGTTCTTGCAGGATGTGCAATGTGCAGGAGTCTGGCTGATTGAATAGTCATTAAGGAAGACTGACCATGGACAGGGTTGTGAGAGCAGAACTCTCAAAACTTGTAACAGATAAAACATGTACTTTTATTTACAGGATTAAATGCAGTTTTTTAAATATAACATTTTCTTCATTACAGAAGGTGTATTACCCACTACCCTTGTCTTCATTCCTGTAGTATTTAATTTATCTCCTTAAATTAATAAGAACAATTTTATAAAAAATAATGTTAATCAAATTAGATGGCTCCAGATGGTTGAGTTTCTGCCCAGAGAGGAGGAGGAACTTCTCTTGTTTTAGCTTGGCTTATGAGATAGTAGTGCAAGCAGGGTTGAAAGACTAATGTAGCTGTGTACTGAGAGACCTGCATTTAAAAACAAGACTTTCTGGGGGGAGCCCCTTGGAGGCGCTCTCAAGCTATATCACCAAGATTGCTTTCTATTACTAAGTCACATCAGTCATAGGTGTCCTGTCGACCTAACAAAGCCAAAACCTGTCCCCCCTCAAAGAGGCACAGAGAGTAGGGGATTGTTATAATCACCCTTACCAGGAAAGTAACTAGAAAGCAGAAGAAACAATTCAGACAGCTGCATGAAATCATGAAAATGAAGCACCAAGACAGCCAACAAACACCGCAAAAGATTTACTCGAAATGATACAGCCAAGAAGTGGCATCCCGAATTTAACCCTTAAATTGCACAACACATCAATAGCTGTGGTGAGTAACTGTTGCGGAATTGCGCACCACAGGTATTGATGTGTTGGAGTCCCGAGCAAGATATAAAAGTTCCATGGCTACATGGAGTTCACATCAGTTTCCTCAGGGCTTTTGCAAACAGACACCATTTAAAAAACAAATAGTGGGCAACATTCCCAGGTGTGAGAGCCTCAGTACTGAGTGAGCAACCAAGGCTGGTCCACGCAGCATGAGCAAACAGCACTGCTGTTCAGCTTATGACTACATCATTGCCTAAAAAATGTAAAAATTTATTTGTAACTGGTATTATTTAGCGATGATAGTATTAAAGAAGACCCCTGACTGTGATCTATATGACCAGGATTCTGATAATAGCAGGATTGTTGTGATAATTAGCGCTGTGCGTAGTATGGTGGGAGGAGTAATGCTGAGGGAGGGAGGGAGGTAGCTTTGTCTGCTGACTGTGTGTGGCCACCTGTTATTGTCAAGAATCATCATATCAGCTTAGTGGTTCGCTATGGTGAACACAAATGTAGATAATTATATATAACATATGTATACATCTGTTAGGTAATAACAGCACATACAATATGGTGGGAGGAGGAATCTTAGGGAGGGAGGCAGCATCAGCCGACTGTGTGTGTGGCGACCTCTGTTATTGTCTGAACTCATCATACTAGCTTAGTTGTATAGTTAAAGTGAACAAAACATGTAGATGCTTATATAAATGTGTGTGTATATATACAGTGTAATAACACCACAAACAGTATGGTTGGAGGAGGAATCCAGAAGCAGGCCTTCAATTATAAAAATTCACAGGTACCATGACAGAACATGTCAGTCAGCAATGTTGTAGAGAGTAATGCTAAGACAGCTTTCATTTAACAGAACAATTTATTCAACAAGCACTAAAACTACAACAATGATGTTACGTTAAGTTCTTCCCATGACACATTAAAGACAGATTCAACAGCCAAGTATAGCACCTACTCCTGTCTAATGCCACTCTCAAGTATAACCACAGGATCCTACCTGTGGTCACTTCGGGCTGAATAAATGAACTAAACTTAACAATACAGTGTGTTCACAGAGGACGTAACAATGCAATCAAAAGAAATTACTCGCAGCCCTCTGCGAAGTAAATCAATAGTTACAACTTGCAACAAACTCCTGCAGCCCCACTGCAATGAGATATCAGCGACTAGATGGGTTACTGACAACTCCAGGAACCCCTTATCAAATTCTTACGTTAACACTTTGTCTCCTGGACGATATCAAACAATTGACAAATTAATTGCACTAATGAACACAAGGACAATTACGTTAATTGACTACGAACAACAGTCAGCAACAGGTACAATCATTGTACAGGTATGATTGTTAATCACAATCTTGTCTCCCACAGACAACAATCTGTCTCTACAATCACTCCTTATCTCATAATTACATTTAGACACTTGACCCATCTAGCATTCAGTGATTAATTACTTTAATTACTGTAAACTGGATAGCTAATTAATCCCAGAATGAGTTACGTTATCCCAGGCTATCACCCACTCGATAGCTCACACCATAAGTCTTACGTCAATATGCTTTGAGGACGGTAATTACCCGTAATTACCCTGAGCAATTAATTACTATCTCACGGATCAATAATTAATTTTACACGAATACGTTGCGCTCAACATTGGCTCAACAGTTCCCACATCAAAGCAATGAGAAATTTACCCTGGGGTGCTAACAACCCGTTCTCGCAAATTCGTAAAGTCAATATTGACTTATTAACTACGTGCATAGGTGATAAACTAAACATAATAGATACCCTTAAAAAGATTCATAGAAAACACCGACCTTACCTAACCTTGTTAGTATCTTAAGATAAGCATCTTATTGCTTCGTAATTAAAATTATTACTTAACCTATACCTATTATAGGTTAGGTAATAATTGTAATTACGAAGCAATAAGATGCTTATCTTAAGATACTAACAAGGTTAGGTAAGGTCGGTGTTTTCTATGAATCTTTTTAAGGGTATCTATTATGTTAAGTATGTCACCTATGCACATATTTAATAAGTCAATATTGACTTATTAAATTTGCGAGAACGGGTTGGGTGCTAATTACCCCTAACTAACTAGAATGAACAACCATCCCACGGATCGATAATTAATCACGATGTCTACGTTACCATCAGTGACTTTACCCTCCTGAGACTCGATCCAATCAAAGCCAGTCGTTAATTACCCTAATTAACCGGCATAATTTATTACCTGTCCAACTGACGGATAATCAATACTGACCGTACTACGCTAACACAATTACTGTTGCCCTCTCGTGAGCCAATCAAACCCTGAAAGGAGTTAATTACTCTAATTAACATGAACACCTAATTACTCCCACACCACTGTCTGACTTCACCAGAAGATGCTAATTACCCCCCAATTAACTTGAACGACCAATTAGCTGTCCTACGGAAAGATAATTGAACCCGAATGTATTAAGTTAAACTCAATACTGTCTCAACATGACAGTGTCCCTCATCAAGCAATGGATGATCCCTTGGTGATGTTAACTTACTTTCTTAATTAACGTTCACTGAATCTTTAATTAGACAACCAAAGATTGACACCAAGTCCTCGTCTTACAGACAAGTGCACCCATGACTCGCACACGAATCACAACACGTGGTGATGTATATATCCATATAATATCACTGTCTAAAACCACTTGCAGCCCCACTGCATTGAACCACACACTCAGTGAACAAGATTATATGTACAGTAGTAATATTCACCGACCAAAGGCACACAACACACTTGTATAAATTTCACAGGCGAATACCCACAATAATCACTAGTAGGAAGTCTTCCAGCGTTACAGTCACAGATTACATTACCATTAATCACTGTCGGAACTGGACTTCTGAAATGATATCACGTGCGGACATATATATATATATATATATATATATATATATATATATATATATATATATATATATATATATATATATATATATATATATATGTCGTACCTAGTAGCCAGAACGCATTTCTCAGCCTACTATACAAGGCCCGATTTGCCTAATAAGCCAAGTTTTCCTGAATTAATATATTTTCTCTAAATTTTTTCTTATGAAATGATAAAGCTACCCATTTCAATATATATGAGGTAAATTTTTTTTTATTGGAGTTGAAATTAACGTAGATATATGACCGAACCTAACCAACCCTACCTAACCTAACCTAACCTATCTTTATAGGGTAGGTTCGGTTAGGTAGCCGTAAAAGTTAGGTTAGGTTAGGTTAGGTAGGTTAGGTCGTCGAAAAACAATTAATTCATGAAAACTTGGCTTATTAGGCAAATCGGGCTTTGCATAGTAGGCATAGAAGTGCGTTCTGGCTACTAGGTACGACATATATATATATATATATATATATATATATATATATATATATATATATATATATATATATATATATATATATATATATATATATATATATATATATATATATATATATATATATATATATATAAATATATATATATATATATATATATATATATATATATATATATATATATATATATATATATATATATATATATATATATATATATATATATATATATATATATATATATATATATATGCATGCATGCATGCATGCATGCGAACAAGCCTGAGTAATGGTTCGAGTCACTTCTGGGGTGTGAGTTTTCATTCGCATATAGTCCTGGGGACCATTCAGGCTTGTTCGCATTTGTGTTCCTCACGTGTGCCCCAAAGAATGAGGTGATTTGGTGAAATGCTATGCCCAAGATTACCATCCGAGTTGCCGTCGGGGAAGTGGCTCAAATAGCCTCGGCTATCACTTCCTTTGACGGCCGTGATGGTCAAGCGGATTTAGGCGCCGTGTAGTTTCCTGTTGGGTTGCTTCTGGGAGTATGGGTTCGAGTCACTTCTGGGGTGTGAGTTTTCATTCGCATATAGTCCTGGGGACCATTCAGGCTTGTTCGCATATATATATATATATATATATATATATATATATATATATATATATATATATATATATATATATATATATATATATATAAATATATAATATATATATATATATATATATATATATATATATATATATATATATATATATATATATATATAAATAAATATATAAATATATAATATGTATATATATATATATATATATATATATATATATATATATATATATATATATATATATATATATATATATATATATATATATATATATATATATATATATATATATATATATATATATATATATATATATATATATATATATATATATATATATATATATATATATATATAATATGTATATATATAATATGTAATCAACACATTACCCTACACTGGAATGGCAAATTAAATCACCTGATGGTTATTATCTGTCCTAATTTTACATACATAAGCTGAATGTGTTCCCAGGCGTGACCATACACACTTTACATTTGCACAAACAGTAAAGTCTTTCCCCTTGACTGATAAGATGCAAAATTAGGTGAATCTCACATGTCTGCACTTTGTTTCACCTGTCCAGGTGCTGAGTAACAGAATGAAGACAGACCCCTGATGCGAGTCAGGTACAAAGATGTAAATCACCAACACAACACAAAAGTACTCACATATTACCAGGCTGGCCTGCACAAACATACCACCCCCATTCACTCCTGAAACTGATGTACTGCAGTATGGAAGATCAGTGGTGGGCTGCTTCCCAAGGCAGCGCAGGCAGGCAAGGCGGTGGCCTGCTGGTAGCCTCACACGGCCAGCAGCGTTTGGTACTCGCCTACACCCACACAGCCACAACTCGACCTGTGTTCGTACTGTGCGACGAGGCGTGTGGTACAAAATGGAAGTGCCTTGCCACACTGCCACAGTGTGGCAAGGCACTGTGGAAGTCAATGTCTCAACCGATGGACCGAAATTCCCCGAATTTCTAATGGAAGACTTCCCAAGACACTGGAGAGTCCTCCTTGGTGTCTCCACTGCTAGGTGACTTAAGCAGGAGAACCGATGATGAGTGCCGTTGACAATAACTGCAGATGCACGACACAGTCTGTTGCCCTCTGCTCCGGCGATCCCACGCTTACTCTACTGTTAAGGACGCACTTCCCTCAAAGTAATTAACGGCATGTTCCGGGATTCTGCAGCTTTCCCAGCGGACATGCGTCATTAGTACAAAGACAGTGAGTACTGTACTTAAATGTCGCTGCAGATGGTGTTTTACCTAGTTTGGCCGAACTAAGCGAAAACAAGTCAAGGAGCAGCAGCGACTGGAGGTAGAATGCCTTCCTTAGGAGATAGCGGGAAGAAGTCCGCCATCCCCTCTGTGCTTAAATCTTCCAATCAGAGCGTCGCACATCAGAGGTCTAGGGCCTCTACCAATGGCAGCCTCCCCTTGGATGGCAAGAGAGCTCTTGACGTCACGCCATTCAGCTGTGTCGCTAAGGCAGCCCCGGGCGGCCGTTGGCACTTCACCCCCCAGCCACCAGCCTTACACAGATTTACAGTAAAACCTACTATAATCTATAAGTATTTCCACAACTACAGTACAGCAGCCACTGTAACAAATTTGGAAAGCTGATGGCCTAGGCTTTCCAACATGCCTAGACATGAGATGTTTCGAGTATGGGTTATGGAGTCTATACCAAGTGCGCTGTGCATGGCTAACTGGTGTATGGCAACGATCGTGCCCTCGACACACTACTAGAAGCTTGGCTGGCAAATCTATACTCTCACAATCAGTTGTGTAGTATTTGTATAACACAAAAACATTGTGTAACCATGCATAGCCACAGAGAATGGGAAGACGTTGGTGCTCATTTTAAAACTAAAACCCAATAACGATCAGATAATAATAGGATAATAAATGGAATTTGTACACATATTTTAATTTTGGATGGCACTGCCGTCCTTCGGATTACTACGTGTGTTGATTTTAGGACATCAATACTGTACCGTTAACCAGATGCGATAGTATTAATGGATTACAGGATTTATATCTGGGAACAAGGAGACAATCGAGTTTCCCCTTCATAGAGTTTGTAAAGGGATTGGTAAATTACACTGTTTTACCGAGCTATTATTTTGTTATAATACTCCTTTATAAAGAGCAATTGTCAACTTGCTGTGATACTTTAACTAATAGGTTTATCTTTATCCCATAGGAAGGAAGAACTAAAGAAGAAGAATGTGTTCCTAACAACAGTTTATATGGGTTTTGATATAATAGAGAAACTAGTATTATTCCTTTTGTTTGCATTATTTCCAAGTTAACTTTCAGCTCATTCTTGGCTAGACTGAATGTTGTTCATTGGGTCCCCTAACATCTATAATGATCTTGCAAGGACCACTTGAAATGTTTCCTATGGACCTGGTGTCAGTACGTTGTTGTCTCACCTGACTCACTGTTTTGACACAAGGACACAGGAACTTGAGTAGAAGCCAAATTAGGTAACTTAAAAATATATTGTGTGACAATTAAAATTGGTGATAGGATTCATTAGTAAAACTGTTGAAAATTGATTAATATTGATCATTTTTTTCATAGGTTCATTTCAACTACTTCATGTTAGAGGTTCATAAGAGAATACATGCAGAGAAGAAAAACATCAAGAAGATACATGCTCCTGACCAGGCTCGTTACTTTGAGCCAGACGGAACATATACAATCAACCACAGACCCTATGATCCCATCCCTCCTGTAGCAAGGGGCATTGCTGATGAATCATGGCTTATATGCTTTGATGAATTTCAGGTGAAAAATATATTCAGTGTGTGTGTGTGTGTGTGTGTAATTACCTAAGTGTAATTACCTAAGTGTAGTTACAGGATGAGAGCTACGCTCGTGGTGTCCCGTCTTCCCAGCACTCTTTGTCATATAACGCTTTGAAACTACTGACGGTCTTGGCCTCCACCACCTTCTCACCTAACTTGTTCCAACCATCTACCACTCTGTTTGCGAAAGTCAATTTTCTTATATTTCTTCGGCATCTGTGTTTAGCTAGTTTAAATTTATGACCTCTTGTTCTTAAAGTTCCAGGTCTCGGGAAATCTTTCCTATCGATTTTATCAGTTCCTGTTACTATTTTGTATGTAGTGATCATATGACCTCTTTTTCTTCTGTCTTCTAGTTATGGCATATTTAATGCCTCTAATCTCTCCTCATAGCTCTTGCCCTTCAGTTCTGGGAGCCACTTAGTAGCATGTCTTTGCACCTTTTCCAGTTTGTTGATGTGCTTCTTAAGATATGGGCACCACACAACCGCTGCATATTCTAGCTTTGGCCTAACAAAAGTCGTGAACAATTTCTTTAGTATATCGCCATCCATGTATTTAAAAGCAATTCTGAAGTTAGAAAGCGTGGCATAGGCTCCTCGCACAATATTCTTTATGTGGTCCTCAGGTGATAGTTTTCTATTTAGAACCACCCCTAGATCTCTTTCTTTATCAGAATTCTTTAAAAATTTCTCACATAATATATAGGTTGTGTGAGGTATATGTTCTCCTATTCCACATTCCATAACATGGCATTTATTAACATTAAATTCCATTTGCCAAGTAGTGCTCCATATACTTATTTTGTCCAGGTCATCTTGAAGGGCATGACAATCATCTAAGTTTCTTATCCTTCCTATTATCTTAGCATTATCAGCAAACATGTTCATATAATTCTGTATACCAACTGGTAGATCATTTATGTAGACAATAAACATCACTGGTGCAAGAACTGAACCCTGTGGTACTCCACTTGTGACATTTCTATATTCCGATACATTGCCTCTGATCACTGCTCTCATTTTTCTATCAGTCAGAAAATTTTTCATCCATGTTAGAAGCTTACCTGTCACCCCTCCAATATTTTCCAGTTTCCAGAACAAACTCTTATGGGGAACTCTGTCGAAAGCCTTTTTTAGGTCCAGATAGATGCAGTCAACCCAACCATCTCTTTCCTGTAATATCTCTGTTGCTCGATCATAGAAACTGAGTAAGTTCGATACACAGGATCTTCCAGATTGAAAACCATACTGTCTGTCTGATATTATATCATTTCTCTCCAGGTGTTCTACCCATTTAGTTTTAATTATTTTTTCCAATATTTTGACTATTACACTTGTCAATGATACCGGTCTATAATTAAGGGGGTCTTCCCTGCTTCCACTTTTGTAGATTGGAACTATGTTAGCCTTTTTCCATACATCAGCTACAACTCCTGTAAACAGGGATGCCTGAAAAATCAGTTGAAGTGGAATGCTGAGCTCAGGTGCACATTACCTCAGAACCCATGGTGAAACTCCATCTGGACCAACTGCTTTGTTCTTATTTAGCTCCTTGAGCATTTTTTCCACTTCCTCTCTAGACACCTCTATGTGCTCTATGTTGTTCTCTGGAATTCTTATTGGATCTGGTTCCCTGAAGATTTCATTTTGTACAAACTTTTGTACAAAAGTTTCAAACTTGTTTGGAACTTTTCGTTTAATGTTTCACACATTTCCTTTTCATTTTCCGTGAATCTATTTCCCATTTTCAACCTCTGAATATTATCCTTTACCTGCAATTTGTTGTTTAATAATTTATAGAATAGACCTGGTTTTGTTTTACATTTGTCTGCAATCCCTTTTTCAAAATTTCTTTCTGCCTCTCTCCTCACTGCCGTGTAGTTGTTTCTCGCATCTTTGTATCGCTGATATGTTTGGGGGTTTGGCCTCTTCCTGTATTGATTCCATTTTTGTGTCTTTTGGTCTCTGGCCCTCTCGCAATTTCTGTTGAACCAATCCTGTTTCCTAGTTCTGCATCTCTGTTTAGGTATAAATTTGTTTGTGCCTTTATCATATATATGATCATATCCCTGATGTATGGGAATGGTATGTAAGTCAGCAGTATGAATGAGTAAGTACCTATGTGTGTATCGCTGGTGATCAGTTAGTCTCTAAAGCTTGAATTCAAAGTCAGGTGTTCCATCGCATTGTCACTAACAGCACCTGTAGAGGTGAAGTGAAGTGTAGACGAGGAGATAATCACCCCTGTTGTCAGTCCAGGGGTGATTATCTTTCTTCTGTTCATTTTCACTTTCTTCTGTTCATTTTTTTGTCCCTTTCTTGGCGAGCATTCTGCTGGTGTGGGAAGCTGTTCCGTGGGTGAGAAGATCTGTGAGGTGGTTTGCGGGTTTGTGTGTGGTTTGTGTGTGTGCGTGTATAATATATTTGATATTCTGTATACCCAGTACTGTATTTAAAACATATTCTGCATGTACACACAGATCCATATGACTGGGTTTGACAGCAGTACTGTAGGCTACAATACTGTACTCCAGTTTTGTATTTAATATTGCAGCTCATTGACATTAGATTAATCAGATATTCAGTAATTCAACTTTTAATATTATTATTGTATTTCTGTATTAAAGATTAAAGGCTTTGCATGTCCATAGCACAATATTTAGTAAAAATTTAGCATGTCTTTAGAAATTTCCAGTTCAAGGGAGCTTTGCTATGTTTAAATGGTTCCAATTATAATGTGTTATTTTAAAGAGTTGTAAATGTTTCCAGTTATAGGATGTACTTATCTGAGTTGTTGAAATGTTCGTGGTTATAAGGTGCAACACTTCTTCCTCGGCATGTAGCACACTAGCATTTATACTTTTGTTTTCCTTTTGCCACAGTATCTTGTTGCAGTGGATTTGAAGGTTTTCTCCTGCCTTGTTGATGTGCTGAGCTTATTCGCTCGTCAGATGCTCATCGCCTCTAGGCTACAGGTGGAGTTTTGTAGACCGAATGATGTGGGTGTGATGAGGTCTTTCTTCCACAGTTGCAATAGCTTAGACTTTGCCCAAGTTGTGCTTTCTTGCTATTGGATATTGTGAGTGCACTGTAAGACTTGCTGCATCGATCTAGCTTTATCTTTTCTCCAAAAAGTTTTGAATGTTTTAAAAAACTATTCTGATGACATTACTGTTCGAGTACAAGCAGCATCCGCATTGCATGCTAGGTTTAGGTTGCTACAATGCACTGAGGCTCGCTCTGTTTGCTCGCACTTGGTCCCTCGATTTGTGGGCATTTTCGGTTGTGTCATCCGGCCTTGGTGGCATTGGGCGGCTCCTTCTTCGGGGGGTTTGGGGCTGATAGGGCAGGCTTTTTTCCCTATGCTTCGTCAGGTCATCTCAGAGTGGGTGCACTTGAGCATGGTCGAAACGACCCCGTCCTCAGGTAGGTTTCTCGCCTGTTCCCAGTGCTGAAACAGGACTGTGCAGATCTGTGGTTCATTCTGGAATTGTCCGGTCTGAATCCCTGGATTCCTTGCCCCTCCTTTCGGATGACCACTTTATCTCAGGTCCGGCTTCTGTTGGAGCAGGTGCTTGGATGGTGTCCCTGGACCTTAAAGACGCATGTTCCTATTCATCCGGGGTTCTGAGACTGGTTAGGTTTCATAGTGGGGCGTCAGGTTTCCATTGCCTTTATTTTGGCTTGAATCTGGCACCTCGCATATTCACGCGTCTTATCTGGGTCGTGGTGACCCATCTGCATCTGCTAGGGGTTCGGGTCCTGGCCTACCTCGACGACTGGCTGGTGTGGGCTCCCAGCCAGTCTGCTTGTCTGCTCGCCAGGGGTGTGGCTCTTTCCCAGCTTGCCGAGTTCGGGTTCCTGGTGAACTGGAGGAAGTCCTATCTGGTTCAGTCCCAGGTTCGGACCTGGCTGGGTCTTATTTGGGACTCTTGGACCATTTCCATGTCTCTTCCTGGAGGCGTTGCTGAGGCTGCGGTCCCACCTTTGGCTGTTTCTAGAGGGGGGGGGGGGGGTTGAGTCCTGGGCCACTCGGCGGTTGCTCGAGCAATTGTGCGGGAGTTTGAACTTCACCGTGCTGATTGGGTTTGAGTTTGGCTTTGGTGTCTGTTCTAGTTCCTTTGGGGACACCCCTTCCGCTTCTCTCATGATCGCTGGGTTCGTACTCCAGGGGCCTTGCATCGGTTGCTGCGTCACCAGCTTCCTCTTAAGAGGTTTTCAGGGTTCAGTGCCTTGGCGCCTACATGAGCCTTCACTCGTTGTGTTCATGGATGCATCATCTCTCAGCTGGGGCTTTGTGACCAGTGCTCGCCAGGCCAGCCAGGGGGTAAATGGGGTTCGTCCTTCTGCCGAGCTCACAGCATGGTGCGGGAGTTTACGGCAGTTTGGCTGTCGCTTCGGAGAGTTCAGGTTGCTCAGGGTTTGACCATCCAGCTCCTTTCGGACTGTGCTCCATTGGTTTGTTGCCTGAACCGCAGGTGTTCTCTTCGGTCCTTGCCTCTTTGGGGCTGGTCGCTTTGAGTGGCTCATCTGCTGGCTTCTCGGGGTTTGGTTCTCCGTGTTGTTCATATCCGGGAGTGTCCAGTGTCCTGGCGGATGGCCTGTCTTGGTTCATTTCCCTGTCCACGGAATGGACGGTCGACACTGACTGACTCCTTCAGCTGGCTCTGCCAGGTGTACGGACTCCCGGATCTGGAACTCTTCATGTCGGCGTGGTCTCAGGGTCTCCCGATCTATGTGGCGTCCATCCCCGACTGCAAGGCTGTCACGGTGGATGCCTTTCGGCAAGACTGGTCAAGGTGTGGGTTACCTGTACCTCTTTTCCCTGGTCCAGCTGTTGCCTCGGGCTCTAGCTTGGATAGAGTCCTACCAGGGAAGAGTAGTCCTTGTGGCCCCTTGGTGGCCGGCATCCAGCCTTGGTTTCAGGTGCTGCTTGCTCGGTGTGCGAACCCGGGACGTTTTTCATGGCTCTACCTCTTCCAGCAGGTCTGATCTGTCTGGTACATAGCTGGTTTGGTCTTCTCCTCCGCTCTTTGCATCTGGTCTTTTTGTTGCGGGTTTATCACCATCTGTATGGTGATCAGGTGGCTTCGTTGATGGTGTACCACCTAAGAGTGTCGTCTTGGCGACAGTACGACGTTTCCTGGCGTTTTTTCTGCCATTTTCTCTCTTCATAGGTTGTCTTCTATTTCTGATCGAGTTGTCTTGTCCTTTTCTATCTTGGCCTATCTACCTATTTTCTATCTACCAGCGAGCATCAGAAATATTACAGGAACAACCGTGGACATCTTCAAGAGGAAACTAGATTGTTTCCTTCAAGGAGTGCCAGACCAACTGGGCTGTGGTGGGTATGTGGGCCTGCGGGCTGCTCCAAGCAACAGCCTGGTGGACCAAACTCTCACAAGTCAAGTCTGACCTCGGGCCGGGCTTGGGGAGTAGAAGAACTCCCAGAACCCCATCAACCAGGTATCAACCAGGTACCAGGCCTTTCAGGATTGTTATTTGATGCCTAATTCTAACGCCTCGTATCGTGCGGTGCTGGCTGAGCTTGCATTCAGGGTGGATGTCACTTCTGCCCCATTCCGTAAGCTTTCTTGTGGTTTGTTTCACCTCCAGCCTGCTCTTGTGCCACCTGAGTCATCCTGGTCCTTGGATGGGGTGTTCTCTTATCTTTCCTCTCCTCAGTTTGTGGAAGTGGTTCAAGATTGTTTTTCCAAGGCTCTGTTTCTGTTGGCGTTGGCCTCTGGGGGTCGGGTTGGTGAGCTTCATGCTCTCCTCCGGCGCAGGGGTTTCTACTCTTTTTGGTCCTGGTGGTCGGTTTGTTCGGTTGCAGCCTTCTTTTCTGGTGAAGAACGAGACACCTGCTTTCCTGAGGGGCCCTTGGGTCATTGTTGCTTGGTTGGTCAGGCCGGGGGTGCTTCATGTGTTGTGTCCGGTTGCGGCTCTTCGCTGTTATCTGCACGCTTCGACTTCGGTGGCTGGGGATGTGCTTAGGGCAGATCTGGTGTACCTTTTCCCTGTTCCAGGGCTCGGGTCTCTCAGGTCGTCCACAGGGTTATTGAGTCTAGCCAGCCTGCGGTCTTTCCTCGTGCCCATGACGTTAGGAAGTTTGCTGCATTGGCTGTGGTGTTTGGTAACATGTCTTGGGCTTGATATTTGGGTGCAGGGATTTTGGAGGTCGAACAGGGTCCTGGCCGCCTGTTATTTGGTTAACGTTCGTGCTCCTGGGTGTTCCTGTGTTGCTTTGGGTTGCAGATTGCAGCCAGTTGTCTCGACTTCGTGTTTAGGAGTGTGTGGCGGACACCTCCTGAGTAAGTCCCTCTTTTCCTTATCTTTGGTTAGGTAGCTCCAGGAAGCCGAAGGGGGGTCCCCACACAAAAAAAAGGGTTGAATGTAATGAAACGCCATTTTCTGGGTGAGCCCCGGAGGCTCCCTGGCAACTCTCCCTCCCTCTCTCCAGTCTGCAGTTTTTCGTGTTATTTGAAGTTTAGCTTCCAAACTGGAGTGCTGAGTAGCCAGCACGGGGAGGTCCAGAGCTCCACCCTCCCTCTCTCGGGGAGGGGAGGGCTGCGTGGACGAGCAGTGCTGCAGTAGAGTGTGATGTTTGCTTGTCTGCTTGAGATTGGAGGATGTTCTGCCTCTCTGCTTGGTTTTCTTTGTAATTTTCTTACCATGTGGAGTTTGTTTTGTGATGCCTACCTTTCTGGGTGCCTAACCCCGGTTGATGGCAGATAAGGAAAACCCTCAACCACAAGGGGATTTTCCATTGCTCCCTGTGGCTCTCTGAGGGGACCAGGTTCTGGCTCGTGGTTCCCGGTAGGTCGAACTCCATAGACTAATGCCCCGGTCTAATATATCACACATTAGCCCAATAGCTCCAGGGAGCCTCGGGCTCACTCAGAAAATCACATTTCACTACATTCAACGATGTTTTTCACCCATAGGGTTATAAACCCATAGAATCGCCTATCTGCTGAATTCGTAAATGCAAAATTGGATGCAAAAAATTCCCTGGAACAATGGGGAGGGGACCTTTGACTTGCCATTGGCTTCCTGTTCTTATTGAGGCCACTAGATTGAAGTTAGCCTCCAAGTAAATTCAGTTAAATTTGTTTCCTTCTAAATTTGTATAAAGCTGTCGGTAGCTTCTACATGTCTGGGTCACATCAATCACTGCTGTTTTCCATGTTTAGGTTGTGCAGGCGATGAGTCACAATAACGTGGCTGAAGTAGTTTGATCAGACCACACACTAGAAAGTGAAGGGACGACGACGTTTCAGTCCGTCCTGGACAATCGACTTGAGAATGGGCCAGGACGGACCGAAACGTCGTCGTCCCTTCACCTTCTAGTATTTGGTCAAACATATTTAGGTTTCTCTCCTATTTTATCCCATCTAGATTCTTGCTTATTTTCTTGTACTGTACTTTCCTTTATGATAATCTAGTAATTTTTAGAATTTCCTCATTCATCCCTGTTCCATTCTTCATACTCTGAGCCATGCTATATATTAAAAAAACTAAACACTGTGGTCAGTGGCCCCAAGCGGGATCTTATATTTTGTGTCCTCAATATGAGCTTCACTCTGAGCTAATATTAATTTTAGCCTTGCTGGTTTGTATTCTTCTCTTATCCTTGTTGCTTCTTGTTACACCAGCAAGTTTGTCTGGAGTCTAGTAGCTGTTCGGTTTGGGTTTCTTCTGTGAGCTTTGCCCAACTCCCTATTTGTGCTTTATAGTTTAAATCTCTTAGTATTAGGCATTTTACTCTTAATTGCTAATAATGCTGCCTCCTTTAGTGTTATTTATGCTATCTTTGTTTTTTTTTTATTGTTCTAGAGCTTCAGCTCTAGAACCCCACTTTTGCTATTATAATATGTTTATTTCAAATGATTTCACTTATGGTTATTTTTTTGACAGGTGACAGACATTGGTGATGCTATGATTCTTAAGCGATTATTTACAGAACTATTTAATAATGGCATCATTGTCATAGCAACTGGCAATCGTAAACCAGAAGACTTGTATAAGAATGGACTCCAGAGATCAAATTTCTTACCATTCATTCCTATACTTAAATCTCATTGTAAGGTAAGCAGTCTTTAAATTTCCTGATAGATTACATATAAAAATATATAATGTACAGAACAGTATTATGCCTTATTAGATAAACTATTAAGTATTTAGTGACTATATAATAGTGACTATCAAACTTTATTCATAAACCTTTACTTTTAACCTTGTATGGAATTTTGTATATATTTTATGACATCATAGGTAGTGTAACAAGTTGATTCCTGTTCTATTATAAGCATCAGATTAGATCTGGGTCTGGTTACATCTTGCCAAAAATGTCTTAATACATGTTTCAACTATGCTGTTATATTGTCAAAATGTTGGTATTATAGGTTTTAAAATTCAGTAACTGAATTCGTCATTAGTGCGAAATGAAGCTAAAGTTTCTGCTGGCATGTTGCAAGTTTATTTTCTGGAGGAGCTGAAGAGTGGTTCTCTGTAGCTAGCTTGTGAGGTAGCTCCACCCATGAGTCATATTAGCCCTTGGTGTCCATATTGCCTACTGGAGACCAGAGCAAGAACTTGGTGCTCACTCACAGAAATGAGCAGGGGATTATTACGATCACTCTCATCAAGGAAACTTCCAGGAAGTATGTGGAAATAAACTGACAATTGAAAGATTTTCAGAGAGACGAGAAATAAAGCAGCAAATACCTACACAAACGATCCACCAAACAGTTAGGTAGAACCCACTAGTTGCACTAAGTGGCATCACCATTGGGAGCTCTGGCTTCCCATGTCAACAGAACTCAGTCCTGTCACTGATGTCCACCTGTAATTACCTCAGTGTAGTCACAGGATGAGAGGTATTATAATAATAATTATAATAATAATAATAGTAGTAATAATAATAATAAATGTTTATTCAGGTAAAAGTACATACATACAAGATGCATTACAAACAATGTTGGATTTCTAGATAGAGCTAGTACATATTATGTTTAAAACCACTAATACACACAGCTTTTCAGGCAACATGGTGGTATCCCATTTTAGGCTCGTGGTGTCCTGTCTTCCCAGCACCGTCATATAATGCTTTGAAACTACTGTTTCCGTTCGTTGTCGGACTTGTTGGTCCTTTGGGGGTCTCGGGGAAGGTGGGGGGGTTCTTTCTGGGTTGTGCCTGGGCTCGGGGTTCCTCTCATCGTGGTAGGCCGCTGGCGCCAGTTTTGACCTCCACCACAAATTCTCACTTAACTTCTTCCATCTCTCATCTCTGGACTCCCCAGAAACAATATTTTCTCAGATACATCACGTTATGTTTGAGTTGTGTCAGAATTAGAGCTGAATGTGTGTGAATATATGTTCAAAAGAAAATATTTAAAACCAATATAGATGGCATATCATAGGAATCACACTATTCTAGTTGCTTGAAACTGTAATGTGCTGGCGTTGATTCGTTGTTATGATGGTTAATTTTGAAAAATATGGTGAATGGATTAGCCTTCTTTCTCTATACATTATGTACGTTCCTTTTGACTTTCCTCATGAAAAGTGGAAATAGGGTAATGGTTTTGATGACATTTTATGCATGGAAATGTGTCTTAATATTAATTATAATTTTCAGGTTATGAATCTGGACTCGGGCATTGACTATCGGACAAAACACCTCTCGGGCTCCAAGAAGGTGTTCTTCATTAAATCAGAATGTGATGCAGATGCCGAAGTTAAAGCATTATTCAAGGTATGTTTTGTATTCGTCATATTTATATATTTACTACAGTATTTTAGTTTGATTAAATTTTGTTATTTAAAACTTTATCACAACTTTAACCAGATTTAGACAAATGTATTCAAGTACACAGTATCTTATGCATGTTTTAAATATTAACATCCTAACAGACTTTCTCCAGTATGTGCAAATGGTGTTGCATCCAGTTATAAAAGTTTACATGTAGTCAACCTGCGTCAATATTCACTCCCTTTTACATCAATACAAATTTTGAGATTCCTGGAGCACAGTAGTCTACATTGTTAGCTTACAACCAAGGTTCACAGTCTTGATTCCCGTGATAGGACAGATGGTTGGACACTTTTCATTTGATCTGATAACTTTGTTCATCCAGCACTAAAGGTACTCGGGAGATAGACAATTATTGTTGGTTACATCCTGGGGAAGGTCAGTAATTACCTTAGTGGGACCTAGATAAGCCTAAGTATGGGCTTCCTGTCCCCCATATTGGGGAAACTGTATAGTGTGGGAGCCGGTGTGGCCGAGCAGACAGCACACTGGACTTGTGAACCTGTGGTCCCGGGTTCGATCCCGGGCGCAGGCGAGAAACAATGGGCAGAGTTTCTTTCACCCTATGCCCCTGTTAGCCGTAAAATAGGTACCTGGGTGTTAGTCAGCTGTCACGGGCTGCTTCCTGGGGGTGGAGGCCTGGTCGAGGACCGGGCCGCGGGGACACTAAAAAGCCCCGAAATCATCTCAAGATAACCTCAAGATAACCCATTATCTGAAGTATGTCCATCAAGTTACTACTGTACTTGCTTCCAACTGTGTAGTGTGCTTTGCATTAAGGTGACCATGGACTAATTATATAATGTTCATGGAGATTTCTCACATCTGAACTCCATGGCAACAGTTAGTTTTCATAACTATTTATAAACTCATATTTCCTCAACCACTTGGGCTGCATGGTTGACCGACAGTCTCACTTTATGCACGTTGGACTTCAATTCCCGAACATCAAGTGGTTGGGCACCATTTCCTCCCCCCCCCCCCCCCTTCCCTGTCCCATCCCAAATCCTTATCATGGTCCCTTCCAAGAGCTATATAGTCGTAATGACTTAGCGCTTTATCCTGAGAGTTCCGTTTTTTCATGTTTGTCTTCAGGATCACTAAACTGAATCGAGAATAGCTAATCTAAGTCGTGTAAAATAAGGTTCGTTCAAGGATGTTATTTAACAAAATTATACGGAAGCTTTGTATTTGTGATAACCATACAAGGGAAGGCCAGGAGCAGAATTATTAGCTGTAATGAAGGAATGAATATTAATTGGTATTTGTACCAAATCATGTGAAGTATTTTCCATCCAGTAATGTTTGAGATACTCCTCTGAACATTTTGCCAGGGAGTGGTGATGCCGTACTAGTTTTCTTTGATGTTACGAAGTGTGAACAGTATTATAACAATACAGTTCTTTTAATAACTTTAACCCTTCAAAACTTTCTACTCCTTTTCAGGCAAGTGCTTCTCTACTTTTATCAAAGTGAGAAATGCGGTAATGATAATGATTACTTGATGAAATTCAGCTGTACATGATGGCTCCTTTTTCTGGGAGAAGCCCCTACGGCTTCTATCCAGAAATTATCCAGGCTGATATGAATATCCCTAATTCCACCCACAGTTGATGTGGGTGGAGTTCTAGGCCTACCGGAGACCACGAGCCAGAACCTGGCTCCCTCAGAGAGGCACGAGGAGCAATAGCCTATAGAAATGCACATGTGATTTTGGAGCATTGTATATCTGCCATCGACCGGGACAGGTACCCAGAAAGGTAAGCGCCCCAAAACAAACCCATATTCTGGTAAAAACGACGAAAATAAACAAACGAGTGGACAGAACTCCCCAAATGAAAACGAGCAAGCAAACGAGCATGATGTCGTTGGCTCGTTTGCGCTTGTGGCTGAGGACTTGTGCGCTCGTGGCTTTCTGGCTTCAGTCTTGTGTTTGTTTTCCCTCCTGGAGCTATCTTTGGATTGGCTTGTGGAGGGTGTAGAGGCGCTTGGGGCCGTTCCTGGGTCTTGTGCTTTAGTCTTGGCTGCTCGTGCATCATCTGCGCTGCTGAAGCTGTTTGTGCCGATCCTGCAGGATGCAGTGTCGCAGTTTTCGCTTCGTGTCTCGCGTGTCGGCAAGTGGTGCTTGCTTCCTTCTTGGAATCTGCCTGGGCTCTGGCTCTTAGGTTTTCTTCTCCCTTTTGTCCCTTGCTGCTTGCAGAGTCTGCAGTTGGGCAGTTTCTGCAAGCAGCCTCTTATAGTTGTCATCCGTTGTTGGACTTGTTGATCCTTTGGGGGTCTGGGGGGGGGGTCCTGGAAGGGTCATGCCTGGGCTCGGGGTTCCTCTTGTCGTGGTAGGCCACTAGCGCCAGTTTCTGGGTTGACGCCACCTTTGGACCCATCTTTGTCTGGTCGGTGCGGAGATTGCTCTGTGCGTAAGTCAGGTTCTTGTGGTTTGCCCCGTTGATGGGACGATGAAAGGGGGGGGAGGCTCGCTATGTTCACTCACGCCTGGTCTCACGCTTTGTGGGCTTTTCGGGCCGTTTCCGACAGCCTGCTGTGGTGTTGGGTGGCCCCTCCTCCTTCGGGGGGGTTCAGGACTGGTGAGGCAGGACTCTTCTCCTGCACTCAGTCGGGTCAGTCTCTTGGAGTAGGTACGTTTGGGTGTGGTCAAAATAGGACTGTGCGGACCTGCGGTTCATTCTGGACTTGTCCTGTCTGAACTCTTGGGTCTTTTGCCCCTCTTTTCAGATGACTATTCTCTCTCAGGTCTGGCTTCTGTTGGAGCCAGGCGCTTGGATGGTGTCTCTGGACCTCCGGGATGCATATTGGCACGTCCCGATTCATCCGGGGTTCAGTGATTGGCTCGGGTTTGTTGTGGGGCATCTCGGTTACTGCTTTCGTGGTCTCCCATTCGGGTTGAACCTGACAACTCGTGTGTTAGCACGCTTTACCTGTGTTGTGGTGGCCCGTCTACATCTCTTAGGTCTTTGGGTGCTGGCCTTCCTCGACGACAGGCTGGTCTGGGCTCCCAGCCAGTTCGTGTGTGTGCTCGCCAGGGATTTGGTTCTTTCCTAGCTCGCCATGTTCGGGTTCCCAGCGAACTGGCGGAAGTCCCATCTGATTCCCACTCAGATTCGGACTTGGCTGGGTCTTGTGTGGGACTCTCGGACCGCTTCCTTGTCTCTCCATCCGTAGTCTATGCTTCGGCTTCGCTCCCACCTTCGCTTGTTTCTGGGGGGCTCCCAGGTCATTCGGTGGTTGCTCGGGGGTTTGTGCTGGAGCCTGAACTTTGCCGTGATGGTCTACCCACTGGGTCGGGTTTGGCTTCATCGGCTGTTCTGGTTCCTTCAGGGATGTCCCTTCCACCTCTTTTGTGACTGCTGGGTTCGTCCTCCGAGTGCCTTGCGTCGGCTGCTGCATTGCCGGCTTCCTCTTCGGGTTTTTTGGGGTTCAGTGCCATGGCGCTACCGTCCTTCCGTCGGGCCCACAGCATGGTGCAGGAGTTCGCGGCAGTGTTTATGTCACTTCGGAGGGTTCAGGTTGTTCGCGGATCGATGATCAGGCTCCATTCAGACTGCTTCCCGGTGGTTCATTGCCCGAACTGTGGAAGTTTGCTGCGGTCTTTGGCTCTTTGGGGCTGGTCACTTTATGTGACTCTGCTGAGTTTTCTGGGTTCTAGCTCGCTTAGAGACGTACCAAGGGAGAGTTGTCCTCTTGGCCCCATGGTGGCCAGCCCAGCCTTGGTTTCAGGTGCTGCTTGCTCGGTCTCCGAACCCAGAGGTTTTCCTGCGGCTCCGCCTGTTTCATCAGATCGGTCCGGTCCGTTACAAGACTGGCTCGATCTTCTCCACAAGTCTTCGTGTTTGGTCTTTTTGACTTGGGTCTATCACCATCTACTGCCAGTATATAGTGATCAGGTAGCTACTCTGATGGTGTCCCACCTGCGAGCTTCGTCTCAGCGGCAGTATGAAGTTTCCTGGCGGTCATTCCATTTCTTTTTGTCTCTTCGTAGGTGTACTTCATTTTCTGTTATTGTTGTCTTGTTCTTTCTCTCTTGCTTGTTCCAGGAGTGTTATCTTATGCCGAATACTGTCGCCTTGTATCGTGTAGTGCTGGCGGAACCGCTGCATCTTGCTTTCAGCATTGATGTTACTTCTGCGCCATTTTGCAAGCTGTCTCGAGCCTGCTTTCAGGCGTTTCATCTTCGGCCTGCTCATGTGCCATCTGAGCCGTCCTGGTCATGGGACAGGGTGCTCTCCTATCCCTCTTCCCCTCAATTTGTAGTGGCCCCTTCAGTTCAGGACTGTTTCTCTAAGACTCATTTTTTCCTGTTGGCGTTGGTCTTTGGGGGGTCGGGTCGGGGAGCTTCATGTTCTCCTCCGGCACGGGTTTTGGCCCTTTTTGGCTTTGGTGATAGGTTTGTTCATTTGCAGCCCTCTCCTACTTTTCTGGTGAAGAAAGAGACGTCTGCTTTCCAAGGGGGCCCTTGGGTTGTTGTTGATTGGTTGGTTAGGCCGGGGGTACATCATGTGTTGTGTACGGTTGCGGCTTTCTGCTATTTTTTTGTGCACCACAGCCTCTGTATCTGGGGACGCGCTTTAGATTGACACCGTTTTCTTTCTTCCCTATTCTCAGGTTCGGGTCTCTCAGGTCGTCCGCAGGGTTATTTGGTCCAACCAGCCGGCAATCTATCCCGGTGCCCACGACATTCGTAAGTTTGCTGCGTTTGCTGCCATCTTCGGTAACATGTCTTGGGGTTACCTGGTTGATGGGGTTCTGGGAGTTCTTCTACTCCCCAAGCCCGGCCCGAGGCCAGGCTTGACTTGTGAGAGTTTGGTCCACTAGGCTGTTGCTTGGAGCGGCCCGCAGGCCCACATACCCACCACAGCCCGGTTGGTCCGGCACTCCTTGGAGGAATAAATCTAGTTTCCTCTTGAAGATGTCCACGGTTGTTCCGGCAA